CACAGGGTGGTGGTCAGTCTGCGCCCACCCTGCAGCAGGTACTGAGCGAACCACTGCCTTAACTTCTTCAGGAACAGGAGAGAGACTGGAGGTCTCTGCTGTTGGGCAAGCATCCTCACTCAGCTTTGTGTTGTTACACGACGGGTTGATCCCAGCCTTGAGTGTATTTTCACATGTGGCTGTGGCTTTGTATTCAAGTGATACCATTTTTAGGATTGACAAGTAGAGGTCTCGTTTGTGAATCCTGCACCAGTTTCCAGTCTCCTTGGGTCTCTCCCTTTCCTTTCTTCAATAGAAAGACTATCCAAACTTTGTGTGAAGCTGCTCCTGGGCTATGCTAGTGTGGTTAGATAACACTGCATGCAGTGCTGGCTGACAGGTATGCCCCAGGAACTGCCACGGTTCACCTGTGTCATGTATAATCCAGCTACCTCTGCCAAAAAGACTAGGAGCACCCTCAACAATTCAAGACTCAGGCGTTTGCTTCCCTAGAAGGTCAGCAGCTTGCCACAGTGACCCTTTGTCAAGCAGCACCACCTCAGGGCAGGCAGCAGCAGCCAGAGACCACACAGCAGCAGCCAGACGCATTTTTTGCAAGCCAAAGGTCTAGGTAGCACCCAACCACCTAGAAGGGCAGGCAGCAGGCTGCTACAAGCAAATATTTACCTCAGACAAGTATTTTATAATTTAATCTATCATCCACAGAAGGGATGTAGCACAAAAGTCTGCAGCTTGGCTGACATGTGGGGACAGCACTTGGGGAGCTCAGGCAGCCTGGAAGGATGCAAAAGCACTGGGCTAGTGAGGGGGCAGGACAGGTCCCCCCACGCATGTGCAGGAGCAGAAATCACAGAGTGGTAGGGCTTGGAAGGGACCTCTGGAGATCACCTAGTCCAACCCCCCTGCCAAAGCAGGTTCATCTAGAACAAGTTGCACAGGATCGTGTCCAGGTGGGTTTTGAACATCTCCAGAGAAAGAGACTCCACAACCTCTCTGGGCAGCCTGTTCCAGTGCTCTGTCACCCTCACAGTAAAGAAGTTCCTCTTGATGGAAAGGGAACGTGCCAAGGAGGTAGGAGGCAGAGCCATTGTTCTCTGAGGACTCTCACCTGGGGAAACTAGAGCAAATTTGAAAAGCTGCTGTAAGCACCCTTCATCCCTGTTCCGGTGGATGTTTAGTTGTAGGTGGCACCAATATAGCAAGACAAAGCTGCCTCATGAGCATCTAAACAAGAGCTTACTCCATGGTAATCAACAACAAAAAAGCCTCCCAACCAACATACCCAGCCTTTGATTGCTCACAAGTCCAAATAGCTTTTGTTTGTGCAGTACAACATCCTTGTCTTTGGCTTGTCTTTGTCGCCTCTGGGACACTTCAAACCGTTCTAGGACCCAGGCACTCGCTGCCAGCTGTCCCCGGAGCGGCATCCCCTGGCGTTTCGGCATCCCCAGCCCCTACTCCCGGGCACGTTCCCACAGCCCTGGGCAGCCGGGAGCCCACAACCCCCCTCCCGCCTTTCCCTGCAGGTGTTCGAGCCTGATGGTTGCCATCAAATCCATGCCCTCCCTGGTTCTGCCACTGCTCAACATCGCACGGTCACGAAGCTGCAGCAACTCTCAACTACATACGGTTGTTTCCTACTTGTGCTATTTTCAATAAAGAGTTTCTTAAAAACTAGAATATTCTCATAGCGCAGGTGGGGAAAAATAAAAGTAATCAAAGAAGTTAAGCAACTGCTACCTACGTCACATTAAAGAGTTCTACGTACAAAAAAAAATTTAGGACCAAAGAGAGTTAACCTACTGCAGTTTCTGCTTGCTCATTAAAATACGACTGTGCAGAACCACATTATTTACTGTTATGCTGTGGCTGGGGAAGAGGAAGTGAAGGGAAAATAAATATGCCCAATCTGACAGTTCAAACCGTGCTTTTTGCTATTGGAAACACCATCAACCAGATTCTAATCCCAGAAAACAGATTTGGTTACTACCAACGGCCCCAGCTCCCCTTGCCAAACATTAGTAGTGTCTACAATCACATTTTCCTTTGAGAAGTATTTTCTCCTTGATGTCCACAAAGGTGTTGCCAAGTGCTTAGATAAAAAAAATTCTTCTGAAGTATCTTTCAGTTTTAGTGACTCAAGGAACTGCACTCCCCACGAGCCAAGACTGCACATTTTAGGTTTAGGGGTGGTAGCATTTACTTTGTTGCAGGCTCATGGTTTGTTGGGGTTTTTTTTTTTATAACATTCACTCCCATCTTCACTGTATGGTAAAACACCTCAGGAGTACAACAGCACATAATCAAGCTCCAAAACTCTAGTTTCCGTACGTTTCTCAGGGCTGGCACTATGTCCTCTGCTATAATGCCACCTTTATTAATAGCTTTATAAAGCTTGCTTACTTACGGTAATGTAAGCCAGATACATTTACAGCCTAAGTGACTTGCCTTCAGACAGTTGTTTTTTTTTTCTTTTTTTTTTTTTCTTTGCTTGTTGTTTGTTGCTTTCTTTAGGTAGTGAAACACCAGTTCACAACCCAATACAACATCCAGGTATTAGGCTTTCTGTTTGTGAGTAGGAGTCAAATCTCTGCATTTTAGTTATTCTGAATTAATCTTTTATTTAAAAGCAAAAATCAAATTGAACCACACCAGTCTTTGAAACAAGCCCAGGAAAGGAACTGGTTCCACCCTGACAAACCGCACCGACACACAGACAGGCCCACAAGGAGCACTGGATCCACAGAGTGAATATTCAGCTATTAATTTTACTTCCCATCCCCAACTGCATTTGAAAAATAATGGGTTTCCAGTTTAGACATTGCCCTGAAGCAGTGAGTCAGCTGTGTGTGATACTGGTAAGCTGTGAGTCCACCTGTGTATTTTGCAGTCCTCCCCCCCCAGATGCGAGGCATGCCCTGCAAACGGAGCCATGTGAAGATGCTGGTACTGGGCTTATAGGCCAAACGAGCTGGTCACCTTTTCCAGCATTTATCACCATGTTATATACAAGGTACTTACAGTGTGTTCTCCAGAAGAACCCATAAACTATTACCAATAGAAGTTTAATCCTGAGCTGCATATTTAATAAGAGGTGAAAAAAAATCCCCGGGAAGACAGACAAGGAAACTGACTCCTAGTTCAAGCAAAGAGTTACTGACTTACTGTCTTCAGAGATAAAAACATGTTATTCTCCAACACACATCCATGAAGAGAAAGCTAGACAGGATGCATCAACAGTTGTCTTTCCTCAGGCAAATGCATTGTGTATTCCTTCTCCTCAAACTTCATGTTCCTCCCCAAAGCAGACACCTATCACATATTTTTGCCTGGCATGTCCCGTATTCCTCACCCCCACCTCACACACATGCTTTATCTTGCAGTGGTCTCATGCAGTGGTCTCTTCCTCAACTGCTTTGCCATTTCTCTTCAACTCATTCCTTCCTCCCTGGCCTGCTAAGGACTTAAGTCTATCCCCAGTGGGCTGGTGATCTGCATCTCATCCACTCCTTCCACTTTTAAAGACAACTCTTAATACCTGGCTTGACTGTTTGGGAGCTATGAGCTTCCCCCCCCAACCCCCCCTTATTTCAGGAAAGGGATAAATGTGCTGTATATTCACTCAGCTTCAAAGCTATGGGGAAAAGCTTGATGGAACTGAGTAAGCGGTAGCAAAAGTCAACAGAGCAAATTCTCTGGAACTGGTTTTGTCTGGTAGGACAGAGGACCTTGAACCTGCTTCTGTCAGCTGCTATCCACCCCCACCAGTCAGGGTCAGGCAACTCAGATTCAGCAGATGTTCTAGAGCGAACACAGGTCTTACAGCAGCATAACACCACAAACGGGCTTCAACACATTTGCAGCAATTATTTACATTCAAGTTTTACTTTACATCCACAAAATCGCTAAATGAGTATTTTATATGGAAGCTGACTATTGGAGGTCCAAGTTTCTGCATATCCATATTCTCCCCCCAAAAAAACTGCAGATGAGATACAAATCCAATTAAGTCCCATAAATTTATTCAAAGTCTTTGCTTTTGAGTACTTAGCATTTGCACGTGCATGGAGCTACTGCCATATCTGCATGCCTGCATGCAAGGTACACATGCTAGATGTCAGAGATTTTGAGATTTTGAGTTTGCTATTGTCACTCAGCAGTCTATTCTATTCTGCCAAGCATTCTGCAGGCAGAAAAATGGTACTTTCCAGTCTGATTATACTTACCAGTGTGACTTAAGAGATGTGATCTTTCCATTCTTTGAAGTGGTCAGCACAGTCAGATGTTTTACATAAGATACAGGCTGTCAGCCTCTCAGACTTGCAAGCATCTTTCTTTTGAGAAACACCCAAGAGATGCTTCATCTTTCCCTGGTGCAGTATTTTACTATGCAAAATGATCACCCTGCATATTGTGCTCAGCAATGTGATAATTAAAGCAATGTGATAATAAAGCATAGCCAGGCAGATGCTTCCGTGATTACCGTACAGTCATTACGAAGCTCATCAAAAAGCTTAGGGGACTTGTGTGGCATCTTGTATGGGTTGGCATCTGTAGACTCTTACCATTCTTCTGCCATCTTCAAGGGGCTCATAATTGATTGGGAGCCATGTAAAACAAAAGAGCTCCCATTAAACCTTACAAGGACTTTCGTCTTGCAGCTCACGCACCTGTCAGAAAGTGGTGAAGAAACTGGAGCTGCCTCTATGTCCATCATCACTCTCCAGTTATCCTAAACTTGTTGCTATTTTTGAGGGAGAAAACAGTCACGAAAATGATCACACCCAGGTAACTGCAGGCAGTCTAAAAAGCAGCAGACCCTTCTCCAGAGCAGAAATAGCTCTGACTTATTTAAATAAATAAGTAAAAATCCAACAACAAAAAAAGAAAACCCCACAAAACCACCAAAAATCCATATGTCCCCTTTATCAGGGGTACTTTTAAATTAGTTGCTACAGAGTAGTTTTTAAAAGTTACATGGATTACAAATAATGACATAGTTTCAAGAACCTTTATACATCATCTTTTTAATTAGATTAGCTTTACAAGCAACTTGAGAGCTCTTTCATAATGAACACTGCTTTTCAAATTACACAACTTTATAGGCAACCTGTAAATGAATCTTGAATTTCTTTGCCTGCTATAGATAAAGGTCTCATATTTTACAGCTGGCTAACATCATGAATAAAAATAGCATTATGAAGCTTTATCTTTAACCAGGACTAGACACATACAGATCATAAGACAGTTTAAAAAATAGTTGTAAAACAAGGACCTGCTTGGTGATGCTCAAGACTGAATATTCAACCGACATGAAATGAACAGTTTCTAAAGGACATGGAAGAAATGGCTGACCTGATTTGTTGACCATATGGTAATGACTTGCATGGAGTGAAAAATTAAGCACTTTTTAAACCTGTCTGGCAAGCACAAACCTATAGTGTGGTGGTTAGAATTTGATACGTCATGTAACTGCAGAAGTTTGAATTACGAAGGGACTGAAATGAGTTTAAAGGCTTATGCTTACATTTCTAAAACAAAACCAACCAAACCTCCATTAAAGTAGTACTAAAGAAGATGAAGTAGAAGAGGTGGCTTTTTTTGCTTGTTTCATTGGTAGCCTAAATGCACTGCAGACCAGACAGTAATGAAGATTTGCACTCCTTGGCCAGGTTGGCAGAGGCACTTTACAGTAAAGGTATTTTGTCTATTTTTCTGGGAAGAAAAGAGGAAAGAGGAAGATAACTGTAAAGGGCAAGAATTTACTAAAAAAAAAAGAAAAAAAAGCAAAATCATAAAAAACCTGGGATTTCTGTTGGTTCTCCTAAATGATATACCGATACTGAATTTTTTCCCCTTTCTGTCAGTTTGTTACTAAACAATTAGCTTTTTCATGTTTTACATGAACAATAGTAATCTTTTTAATAAAAAATTACTGAGCTTTCCATAGAAAAGGTCTCTAATTGAATACAAACTATACAGATGCTAAAATTGTCACAGGTTGTAATATATACAGAAATATTTCTGTACACTCACATTGTTTTGGCTAAGGAAATAAGGGACAGATAGAAAACTGCAGTGGGTAAGTCGATCAACCCCCAAACTCCTGTGAATATAAATGCTTTCTTTTATAGGTTTGCTTTTGTGTTCTCAAGCTTTTAAAGCTCAGGAGAAGAAAAAAAAACCCAACCAAAAAACAGGAAAGAAGAAGAAAAAAAAATCAGTGTCCAAAACATCCATTTCTTAAAAATAAGAATATCAAAGTTTCTGCACATCTCACTTTCATTCTGTGATGTCCCCTCTCCTTGATAAAATGAAAACAATGTAAAAGAAAATAAAAGTTTTCTTACTAAATATATACCTCAGTATTGATGAAAGGGCAGTGCCTTTTTGGGGAAATCCTTCAGCAAAGTGAAAACCTAAGGATGTATTGCACAAGGAGCCTACAGTGATGCACTTCAGCTTCAGTGTGCTGACCATCTCCTTGATACTATATAATAGATCAAGGTGTCAACTTGCAGACTGCATGGGACACCAACATTTGAAAAGGAAATAAAAAGGTTAATTTTAGATATTCTATTAACTTATATACAAAGGAAAGAGGGGTGGCAAGTATTCTTTAGAAAAGGGAGAAAGCTCAAAATTTTCTGTCAAGTACGTAAGGAGGTTCTGGGTACCTCTAATAGCCTAGGAAAGCCCTTGTATGTTCTTGCAACTTGATGGTATTTACCAGGTCCCCAAAGCCAATGACAGCAACCGATAGTGTCAAGTTCACTTAGTGCCAGTCACTTAAAAAAAACCCAAAACAAAAAATCAAACCAAAAAACAAAGAAGAGACAGAAACTTCCCCTCTGTGGATTCTACATACAAAACCACAAACTGAATGTTACTAATAGCAAGATACTGATTTGCTTCTGTTAATAAGGTTCAAGAGGACATAGTCAAAAAAAACAATACAGCAGCAATCTTTAAAAGTTAAGATTAGTGTGAGATATGATATAAAACAATCAGGTTTTTAGCTGGTAATTAAAGTGCTCCTTTTCTGACTTAAGGTGTAAAGAAAATTAAAGTGATTATCAGTTACTGGCAACCCTTACATTAAATTAGGTCTTTCATGGCAGAGGAGAACAGTATGAACAGTTTTACAAAAATAGATCCATGTTATTTTGGAGAATACTGTAATTTTTTTTCTTTTTTTTTTTCAGTTTTTCTTTTTTTTTTTTTTTTTTAAGACTCAATTTTGATAAACTGTACCTGGTCATACAAAAATTACCCAAAATTCAAACTTTTACCATATAAAAAAAGGGAGAGATGAATTGGATTCAGCTGGATGACAGGTCTGGCAAAATATAAGAATGGACAAATTCTATGTAGGGCACTTATTTATGTCCAGATGCATATGCTGTTTCTTACTGATTGCTTATCTTCACATAAGCAGTCACAGGCCTGGAGTCACAATCACATAGTACAATGCTTCAGCAGTCAAAGAATCTTCTATTTGATGCAACATTGAAACACTGTTTGCTTCTTTATTAAAACGTTGGTTTGTTGTTGATTTTCCTTTATCTTGTTATTCACATTCAAAAGTTAATAGATAGCATCAAGATTTATCAGGGAGAGTAGCAAGGGGAGTTGCTAAATCAAAGGCTTATAAAACGTCTTTCCCAACTGAGTCAGAAGGTTTATTAAGTTCAACCCTCACACCTTTTTCACCTGCAGAAATATGAAAGGAAATTGGTATTATTTTTCAGCATTTATCAACATATAGCCCATAGAATTGCTACGTCACTTTCCAGATTAATTGAGTACTTTGAAGACTGCCTCATACATGTGATGTAGCAAGATACATATTTTTGTATACATGCTCTGTAAAGCTAACAAGCTGTGGTTACTCATCATCTCGGAAAGTGGGCATTTATTTGGCTGCCTAAATAGAAAACTCGATACTTCACATCATATGTGCAGTTTTGAAATTCATCCTCAGCCTTTACATACAAAAGTAAGCTTTAAGAACGGCCAGTTGAGAATCTGAGGATATTGCCCACTAATCTGGATCAGATTATCCAGAGTTTCTGGGTATTTACCTTTGTAAAGAAACTCCCATGGACTTTTAAAATGCAATGTTCCATCTGACTTGTTGCTAAAAAATAAACAAAACAAAACCCACACCTCTTCTGCCCTTTTCTCTAAAAGCTGACCTTTAGGCACACCCCCAAAGAAGTTTGACTGTCAAACACAGTATCACATATTCAAGAAATAGTCACACATACTCTGCATGGCTTTAGTTAGACTGACACTAAGCCAAAAATTAACAGTTTTCCATTTTGTGACATTTTATTCTATAATTTTATATTTTAATATCAATGGAAAATAAAAAGCATCTTGCACAATTCTTGCTGCAGGTACAGAGCAAAGAATGCAATTTTAATTACAAATAAAACTGGAATCAGAATAATATCGTAATATAGATGAATTACAGGTCAAACCAATACCAAAATTTAAACAACCCTTCCAGCCCAGTCTTCTTTCCTGAAGTGCCTACAGTTTAGGGGGATCCTGGAGAGGGAGGGGGGCTGGGGGAAGCAGTCCCCCTGCAGACACAAGCCCACCTGAGCCACTTTCCCTGCACTCTCTCTGAAAAAGAAGCAACCAAAGCTGCACAGAGAGAGACAATTGAAACAGCTCTGATCTGGCATGGCCGGCTCCAGGAGCTGTGGGGTCACACGTGTATGACAGACACAAAGCCAGCCAGCCAGCCAGGCTTCCTGCAGAGACCAGGCGGGCACTATCGGGCATCGCTGGACATGCGCCACCAAGCAGCGGGACAGCCGGCCCAGCCTGAGCTGAGGGACCCCACCACGTTCCTTTGCCAGCCAGGCAGCAGCTGCACTGCTCTTGCCACTCCCCATGTCTTCAACATCATCAATTTCAGAGCTCTTGATGAAAACGTGGGGAAACTGGCCCTGTACTTATATGCACCTGTGGTATACCTGATTTTGGTTTATTTTTAAACTACTGTAACAAATAAAAAATCATTATGGCAATTACAAGCATGACAGAAGTCCTACACCATTTCTCCTTAAAATGCTAATTTGAACAGGAAAATTAGATCAACTTCCTCTTGAGGGAGAAGCCAGAAAAGGAAAACAGATGCTAGATATGTGGAATTGGAAGTGGAGGAAGTAACTCCATTCTTTGATTCCAGACTTTAATTTTAGGCTTTTGTTTTTCTGATACAGAGATTCTAGTCCAGTTAAGTTGTATTCACTTGTGGAATCACCATATTCAATCAAAACTATTTCCAAGGTTCTCAGTTCTGCAGTGCCTCACAGTCTCTGCTGTATTTATCCTCCACGCTTATTAGGGAGACAGGACTAGGGAGAAGCTGTATTTCTCATACAAAAATACTGAGCAACCTCAGGAAGTGCGAGCAGGACAAGGCACTGACCTGGATATCCCAAGTCACTGCCAAGCAGCTCAACCACTGGATCACCTTCCCTGAAAAACCTGGCTCTCTGAGTTACACTGATTTTCTCCCCCTTTTTGTGCACAGAGTGGGCCAAGGAGGTAACACTGGACTACTTAGCTATTTAAAAAACAAAACAATAAAAAACTCCCAGAAGATACTTAAAAGGATTACCTGTTAGATATTTTACTTTAGCTCGTGCTCTTTCATCTGCATCAAAATACCACACTGTTATTGCGTACCTGGAGAAATGAATGGAAAAAGAACTCCTGAACTATGAAGAAAACAGTGAAGCACTTGACATAAAGCAACCTAAATAAGATCATACTTCTGCAGTCTGACAGAAGAAAGATTTCATAAAGCACAAAGCAAGCAGTTGGTTTTTTTTTTCTGTTAGTATTGTCTGAACAGTCATTAAAAGGGTGACTCGCTGTGAGTTTGTGCTTCTTTTTCCTGATGAGTTGTTACTATGGTTCTTGCCCAGAATCTGTAATATAGTCTCTGTCTGTATCACCTTGCCCTGTGACCTCATCTTTTACTTTACTCCAGTCAAGCCCAAGCCCATCACTGAGTCACACTGCAAGAATCTCTTTTTTTAGACTTTTGCCATAAGAGAAAATTAACTACCCCTTCTTACACAGCTCCTCCGGTTTTCCACTGCCTGTAGAGGATTTGAATATGAAATGCCAGCTACTGAGAAAAGACTTTAAGTAGCTTTAGTAAATGGCATTTCACCCTCTGACTCCGCTCTGAACACAAAGGGGGTGGGGAGAGCGGTATAGCCATCCAAAGGGCTGCAAGAGGACACACCGATGGCAGTTTCAAGTTACTTCTTGCACAGGTACTTGTGTTATCTCACAGCTCCAGTCAATGCTCATCCAAACGTGTTGTGCACATGGGCAACAGGAAGTCTGGATCAAGGTCTCCAATGATGTACCTATTAACGCTATCTGGAAATGCCACTCAAGCTGTGGGGGCAGTGAATGCAGATAACTTCAGCATCATTCACTGCCCTACAAGGAGAGACAAAGAAGATAATCAAGTTCCCCCTGTGACTCAGACTGGGAGCAACTCCTTTAATACTCCAGAGAAAGAAGAGATTTGTGCATCAATAGTTGTTTCTGCCCCACAGCCCTCTCCCAACTCCCAAACTCAGCCACACCTAGAATAAAGAAGGGAGAGTGAATGTGACCATCTTCTAAAACAACTCCCTCTGCCCCAACAAAAGAGGACATAGAAGGGAAGTACCTAGTCAATTGCTCAGTAATGCACTAAGGTGCTAAGGACAAAGGGAAGGGACCACAGCATAATGCCATTACAGAGAAATAATGAAGACAACACTCCCTGGCTACGGTGGGGTCTGCTTACGGCTCTGTATGCTCCTACCCAGAACATGCTCAGAAACTTCTGGTGTTTCCAGTCCTCCCTCCTACCCACCCAACGGTACAAACCAGAAGCCTCATCAATTAGTAGGAAAAAAAACCCCTTCTTGTCATAGTGCAACTGGAACTGTACATGGGAAGAACTGGGATCAGGTCATAATTCATAATGTCATTTATTTCTCATTAGGATTTGCTCATTTCTTGATAAAAGGCATCATGCAACACTATATAGAGAGAGTCTTATTAGTCCTACCTTGTAGCAAATGCTGGCTGTACTTCATGAGGGTTGCGGCGGTCAGACCAGAAGAATAGCAGTCTATCAAATTTGGGTTCAATATCAGCAAATTGGGCTTTACCTTCCGGAAATATCCGAAGGATGCCTCCACTCACCTAAAAATTAAATATTTAAAACCAGTGCTTGAAAACCATGTCTCATTGTATTTAAAAGTATTGAATATCATATTTGAAAATATTTCAGACGCTTGGAACTGAAACAAAAGCCTTTAATCAGATGCTATATAAATTACAGGTGGCTAAAAATATGCCAATGATGAGATGAGAGAAACATCATATTTTACATCTGAGTTTCACCCTTTTCCATTAAAAAGATTTTTTAATTTAACAGCAGCACAAATTTATGCCATGTTTCTGTAACTAAGAGGAGGAAAGACTAGGAAACTTCAAACTGAAGCTTGAAGCTGTATCACTCTGGGTCAATTTAGATCTCTTCCAGGCTTTGAAAAACAGTTGGACCTACCTGTGCATGCCTAGAGAACAGCACAAGTAGGTGGGGGTTAATAATTTTTAATTCACTGGATGGGGTTAATTATTTTTAAGTCACATTAACTCCTTCCTACTGAGGGTACCGACGTTGGTAAATCTAACTATAGACAGCCACTGTAGGTTTTCATGGTAAAATTGTAACACTGCAAGAACTAATGAAATGGCTGGTTTTTTAAATCGTGATCTAAATCAGCGAACAAGAAATGACAATTTAGATCAATTTGTTCTCCTAAAAATTTGACCTTCTTTCTTTGCTACCCAATATACTTGGTAACATATTAATTTGTAATTTAAAATACATTTTGCAGGAAATTAAATACCATTGTTCATACAGTAAATATCCAGCTACTAAGTTTTTCACAGTTATTGTGAAAATGCAATTCGCTTGACTTCTACACTCTGGCATACATTCATATTTTTCCAGGAGAAGAATTGTAAATCAACTAAAAATGCCCCAAAGCTCCATTTAAAGATGTTCAGTCCAACCAGTGCACTTATATGCAAAAATGGTATAACGGCAAAAAAGGGTAGTAATTTATTTTGTAACTGAAGGATCAAATTTGACATTTCAAAGAGCAAGTCAGAAACAGAAAGCTTCAAGTGCTTCCATTTCTGACTCAGCTTTCCAATCCAACAGTCTTATGTGTGCATGTTATTGGCCCCAATCTGAAATGGATAACACATAAGAAAAAGAGGAAAAAAAAAACCAAAACCAAAACCAAACCACCACCACCAAACTCTCATCTGCAACCTGTGTTATCCATATCTGGTGCACCCAATTCACAGAAACTGACTGCTTACATGCTCTTCCACACTACTTCCTAAGTACAGAAGTCTCAATAGTTTTATCTCTTTTTTTCATATATAATGAGAATAAACTTCTTCATAGCTAACTGCACAGCAGTGAAGGAATAAACAAAGCTATCTTTGCATTACTCCCTCGTGCTTTCAATACAGCCAGTTAGCTATGTTCATTCTTCAAATCTACCTAATCCTACTGAATCGCTACAAAAATCCTTATTAAAAAGTTACTTTGTATTACAGTCACCACACCTAAGGAGAGTTTCGAGTCACCAGCAGTAAATTCTTAGACCACTTGAACTGTGTTATGAATCTGTATCTATTCTACACCCTGTGTCTAGAATGATACAAAGACTTGGGCTGCTTTGAACTACGCTGATATAGCAATAACCGTAACACTTGTCTTATTTGAAACTGCTCCCAAGCTACAGCATCTTTCTTTTTATAAGCATACTCAATTAAGTAATCTAGTTGCACAAACAGTAAAATCAAGATGCAACAGGAATATAAAGTGAAATAAACTAAAATTTATATTATATTTCAAATAAGCTTTATTTACTTGCCATGCATGTGTGCGGCGTTTAGCATACAAATAATGTACAATAAGCTGCATAATTAGATACTTATGAAAGTTGGATTCTAGCAGATATGTATATTTAAAAAAATATGAAAAACATGCAACTTTCCTTCAACCTCAACCTGTCAAAGAACTCCTGCTAGCATCACTCAAAACATTGAAAATAAATGCCTCATCTCTATCTGCTCTCAGTAACAGCAGAATCAAGGGACAAAGGATACCCACTATTAACATAATGTAAAACCACAACAGAAATTAGGACACTAACAGAGACCTGTAGCAAAGGTGCATTAGCAAGTATAGGTTAAAAAAAAAAAAAAAAAAAAAAGGTTAGAGAAAGAAATTATTGCATACCTTGGCATCCCAGTCTTTATTAAGATAATATATACACGTAACACATCTTCCATCTCCATTTGGATTATCAACATGGCGCACGTATCCTGTTCCATTGCCTGGATAACAAGCCACCATAGCCTAGAGTCAAAGAATCAAACATGATCATTAATTTTATCTGTTTGTGGGGGAAAAAGTCGACATTTTAACCGTGTTAATTCCGAAGTAATTGATACATAAGCAACAGAAAAATTAAGTTAGAAATAATGGAGAAATACTTTTTTATCTCTGTTCTCTTTCTAGTTAAAAACTGGTTTTGAACACAAACAGATGTCTACAACAAAGGCTTGAAACACACTGAGAGGAACACTTAATTAAGGTGTGGAAGGTGGGGCTGCTCCCATGTTGTGATTAATCCTTCAGACTTCTCTCCCTTAAATGAAATACAAGAGAGAAAAAATGTCCTGTGTATAATTAAGTAGCATGTGCTTCTCCTTGTGATAAGAATACTGCTTTTCCAGACTCAAGTTCACAGACAGCTGTTGTTTTATTTTTTCTATTTCTTTGTTTCCAATGCAAATAATTGCTCCTCAAAAAGTAGTGTCAAACTTTATTTTTAGGAGATTTTTTAGACAAGACCATTAGCCCATCTTAATAACTCCAAGTGCATTCTTGGGCTTGTGTTTTGTCCTGTACATAGGAGGTCTTTGAATCTTTGTTGAAACAAGCCTACATGTACAACAAAAACATCCTTTTTAGTCAAGAAGTGAGAAATTGAAAACAGACACCGAACAGTAATCTGCAATAACCTTCTGACATCAAATGATTCCCAGTATATTTAGCTTCCCATGCTGCACTTAGCTCAGCTGACTTGAAAGACCCCTAGAAGGTGGTTTGAATTCTGAATCTTCAGACATGAGGATGTGTGAAACAAAGTGGCCATGTTGCAAACAGATGGCCTGGCTAGCTTGATTAGCTATCAGTTTGCATGCTGGTTTGTGGTACAGCACATCTCCAGATCTTTATGCATCTGGTGGAAAGAGTAATAATTTCCGGCTTTTAAAAGAGATGAGAACAAAGCGTTTGAGGCCAAGTCATCCACTGTACTCAAGACGTCTGCAGTGACAATATCCTATCTGCAAAAAGTTGTAATACAAATTTAGAAGAAAAAAAAGTGAGTTTCTACCAACAATCCAATACACTACTAACCTCAATGAATGCTTGGTGTCTAAAAAAACCCCTAAACACAATCATTCCTGTTCAAATTTAGCCTGGTTAACTTAGAATTGAAAGTCAGACCTCTGGACTGCAAACTCTTTAACCTCTCTTACGTAAAATATCAAAAATAGTTTTTCCCAATAAACTGTTAACTGTGAAAATGTAATCCACCAGATTAAAAGTATTTCAAATAAACTGCTTTAGTGCTTTTTCTGCTTTATACTGATAATTTTACACCCCTCTTAAAAATGTTAACAAATAAAGCTTTCCACAGTTTGCATTACTTGCAAGAAACTGTGCTCTGAGCAGGCTGAGAAATAGTTTAAAAAACTTGCAGTTCAATCAGTAAAACGTTCATCACACATAAACAGAATGGATTTTGCTATAGCAGCAAACATTTTAAAAATCTCTATTTCCATACATACTCTACTGAGGGAAGAAGCAATTTTTTGGTAGCTCCTTCTAGGCAGGAATCAGAACACGGTATTTGCCAAATAGTAGCACCATGGTTATAAAAAAACCTAAAAATTAAGACAAATATAATTCACAAGGTGCTTGAAAAGTACTCAAAACTATAAAATTCAAACATACTTGTAATTTTGAGATTAAGAACTTGAGCTTCTCAATCTCTTTACTGTAATCATAGCACAGTCATCATTACAAGTCTCACGTTATGTAAACATATTACACATATCAAGTAATGTGACCTAATATTTGGCAAAGTCATTACTTATCAGTTTTGCTGCAGGAAGATAAACCCACAAAAATCAAAACAGTGAGTTAAAGATACCAAATAATGTAATAAGGGTTCTGTAATTTCCTTTCTTACAGAGAAAATAGGAACAAAACAAAAGCAAAGCTGGGCTGGAAGAGGAAGATATTTGGTTTCCACTGAAAGCCAACCCTGTGAAAAAAGTCCCTATCAAGCTCTCCTGGAGCACTAACAGTGCTAAAAGTAGATCCAGGTCCAACCCTCTAACAGCATTCCTAATAACAGGGAAGTTTTAATTGAAGAGGTTTTGCTGAGAAGCATCACGTAAATTAAACTCTGACATTAATGTGTGTGAAACAGCTACTAAAACTCATTCAGAATGAAGAAAACATTGAGACCCAGTAGCTAGAACAGTATCAATTCTCACTGAAATCATGATATGAAAAGGTCTTCAGGAACGTACGTTACTTAAATATCTGTCACGGAGCTAAAAAACCTACTGTTAAAAGTTAACAACAGTTCTCAGGTCTCCCTGGCCAATACAGTGGTTTTTTCAAGGGCACACTTGGTTGCCGTCTGTTCCTCACAAAGATAATTTTGCAGTTAGAGAAGCATAAATTTGCATCTGATTGCTATAGTTTCCTTTATAAGATGCTGAAATGGGTACTTGTTCTCTTTGCTGAAGGACAATCAAGAAAGGAATCTTCAACGTTGCCAAAGAAAAATCAAGAAAGGAATCTTTAACATGAACGTTGCTGAAAAAAAAGAAGACAAGCAGCAAAGTCTAGGGAAATGCCAGTTGTCATCTACTCAACATAAGGAACAGCCATATTCAACATCAGAAGCATTTCATACCATCATTTGAGTCTAAAATACCGTCAATGTTTTTAAAAAGCGCTTGTTTTTGACTTCAGAGTCTGAAACTTCTGCTATCATCAGCTGCAAGAGACGAGAAACAGTTTTGCTGTGATAACTTATCTAATACGTATTTGTTATAACGGTAAGAATGACTCAGCAGTTAGCGGCAAATTGGAAAGCAAACAAACTCGCCAGTCCGCCGGTGTAGCATAATATACACGGCTCTTGCCAGTTAGTGTGACAATTCCCTCTCCCCAGCTGAACTACGATAAGGAAAGTCACAAAACTTAACAATTTACAGGACATGGTAAATATATTGCTTTGTGAAATAATAAGCAGTGAGTGAGTTTCTGTCCAACTGTCACGTCCTGCAAGATTGCCCAAATGGAAAGGACAGAAAAGTGACCCAGGTAAATAACAAAGTCACATACTTTTGTTGCTGTTGTTTTAACATTTTACTGTATAAATAAGCAAGCAAATACATGTATGCCAAGCAGAGAGAATTTTTTTTTAAACACTGTTAATGGTAGTCAAGAGAGCGAGGCATTTAGGACCAGAATGTCCCAAATTTCTTAACATTTTAGACTCTGAACAATAAGGTTGTTCGCTCTCCAAAACAAAGAGCTGTCTCATCAGTTCTCCCATAAAAGCGATCGATGAATTCAACTCGAGGCATTACTTGCATTTTCTTAACAGATGTGAAGCTTCTTGGGCCATTACAATTTCTTAACATTCATCAATTTGAATTTCTGCAAAGCATATATTGAAGTCCCACACTGGATTTGTTCACCCACTGGATTCCTTGGCAAACACTTTTAATATTAACCTTCTTTAACCCAACAACATTCTCCTCCAGCCTAAGCAGTCATGCCTAGCACATGAGCGCTGTCCTAAGATAACCCTCTGGAATTCGTGAGTAATTGAGAAAGCATGAAAGCACCCTCCAACCCGCAATCCTCCGCCCAACTTGTGCCTATCAAACTGAAGTACTCGCACACTTAAGAAGCTGCTGATTGCTCATTCACATACAGATGTTGTACTTGCAAATGTTTAACTCTGGAAAATTAACTTTAGGCTATCAGCCCAAACAAGCAACATTAAGTTGTTAACAGAAGAACTAATTGAAACAAAAATTTTTTTGCTAAGCAACTGCATCCTTAATGTGTCCACTATTATTCTAACAAGCAATTAAATGCACAAAGGTAACATCAGAGGGAATAATCCATGGTCCATAGTTTTGTCCAGGAGCCATCTGCTAAGACTCTAAGCCTGGGAAGGCACAGCACATCAGTGCAGCAGAAAAAGAGAGTTCCGTTGGGAGCAGCCTCCATCCTCTTCACAGAGAAGTATGACAGCCTCACCCATAAATAAATAAGGAAAACTTGCAGGTAAACAGACTGAAGCTTTTTCCTCTATCCCCTCCACTCCTTTCACAGCTAGACACCTGCCAGTATAGGTATTGCTGTAATAATTGCAATAATAGCAAACTCTTAGGGACGAAGAGGAGAAAATAACCAGTTACATAACATAAAATTCCCTAAGAGGGGGGGGAAAAAACCACAAACCACAAACACAAAACAGAGAGAAGACATGTGTTCTATCATATTAATTTATTAATGTGAAATAACTTTATTGTTTAGCTCAGATTAAATAAAGCTGCACCAGTCGAGGAGATGTCACTTTTGCTGTTTGCTGAAGGAACTGCAAATCTCAGTGAGCAAAACAAGATGTCTAAACGGAAGACTGATGACTTCCTAACAAAATTTATCAGATGCTCTCACAAAGACTTCACTGGAAATCCTTGGCATGGGTCATTTGACAGATTATTCAAAAAGGAAAAAAAAAACCCAACAAACCCACAAATTAAGCGAAAATAAAAAACAAACAACCAAAAAAAACACCCCACAACACCCTAATAACCAACCCCACTGGAATGAAGAATCACAGAAAAGAAAAAAACATCTGACCCATCCCTGTTTGGTCCATCTGTGATGTATTTCTAGTTCAAGAATTTGTTCACCCCTGACAAACAACAGTCCTAAGGAAATACATTTCAGTTTAAGCATGTCACTAAGATTTTTTATAAGGTGTACAAAACAACAATCAAACTGAAGGAAAAAAATACTGTATTGGTTCTACCTTGCATCAGCACAGTCAAGATGACTGATTTAATCAGGCTAATGTAGCACAACTTGGCTTGGATTCAGTCTTCTCCTGTACACTCTTCACAATCAGAGACATAAACTTGCAACACAAAGAAAATATCAACTGGAGAGAAACTCCTGTCAGCCTTACCTAAAACAGAGGAAGCTGAAAGGGGTAAAATAAACTCTTTGGGACACAGCTAATC